CAATATATTCAGCTTCCTATTTTTACACTAGAATTAAAAACGCAACAGTATACAAGTGCAATCATATTACTTTAAAATCCAGTAGTCCTTGATTGTGAAAGAGCATGATTATTTATTGTTAGTCTGACAAAATGCATCCTTATTTGAGCCCCTTTACTCTCCATGCAAGTTTTCTCGGCCGTACAGAGCATGGCTTGCCACCTCCCCTCTCAAAATGCTAGTTCCCAATCTAACCTATGCTCTGGATTACCTAGTGGTCTCCCATCCAAAGTCATACCCCACCCTTTCAAGATTTATTCTACTTAAGTTTATATAAGTTATATTTCTATGCCTGCCAGCCAAGGTCAGCCAAGAGCTGCCCTCTGCTGAAATAGGAGACACCTTTGATTCATATTATACACCCAGCATAAATATCCAGACTGTTTGAATTCCCTCCCTTCCCACAACAAACATGGCGCTCCAGGCCACACTCCGGAAGTTCCGGCTCGAAAAAGGACCCGTCTAGGAGTCGAAATCTGTATCTCTACTCCGCCTCTCGCCCAGCCGGCTCCCTGAGCGGGTCGGGAGTGCGCAGGCGCGAGGCGACCATTTTGGAAGGCGGCGGAGGTGAGGATGAGGGGGTCTTTCTCTCTTCGAGGGGAGCCGGACGCCGCCGGGTCTCGGAGCCCCTCCTGGGGCAGGGGGACGGGACGGGGGCGGCTCCGGCTGCCGAAGGGGGTGGGGGGCGTTCCTCTGCCGGCTGTCTTCCCCGGGACTATCGCCTTTCTCCCGGCTGGGAGGATGACTGTGCAGCTCCGATAGGGAAAAAATGGCTCTCAGCGGGTTGGTTGATTGATTGGTGGGTTTGATTGGCAGGCAGGTGTATTGACAGGCTGACAAGGGAGGGGGTGGTGGGCGTAAGTAGGTAAGAAGTTCCTAAGAAGGCACCATAATGGGTCGGTGGGCAAGTGGGGAAGTAGGTGATGGGGCAGGTGGGTGATGGACGGACAGAGCAATGGAGCCATTCAACGCAAAATATACAGAATGACAGGGGCTGGGTGGGGGAGTAGGTGGGTGGCTGGTGTAGGGTCCCCTGCTTGAGCAGGGCGGTGGACTAGATCAGTGTTTCTCAACCTTGGCCACTTGAAGATGTCCGGACTTCAACTCCCAGAATTCCCCAGCCAGCATTCGCTGGCTGGGGAATTCGGGGGGTTGAATTCCGGACATCTTCAAGTGGCCAAGGTTGAGAAACCCTGATCTAGTCCCCCGCCCTGCTCAAGCAGGGGACCCTACCCCAGCCACCCACCTCCTCCCCCACCCAGCCCCTGTCATTCTGTATATTTTGCGTTGAATGGCTCCATTGCTCTGTCCGTCCATCACCCACCTGCCCCATCACCTA